AAGTTACGTCACCATTCTAAAGGACGTGAACAATGCTGGGCTAGCAAGGGGCATTAACCAGGTACAGGAAGGACTAGACAAAGCAGTTAAGCGTAAAAAGTTCTCTAAATTTGTTGCCGACGAATACATGTCTAACTTGGAGCCCACCACTTCTTATGATGGCTTAAGAAACTGTGACATGGTAATTGAAGCGGTGTTTGAAGATCTGGCCATCAAGCACCGTGTGATTAAGGAGGTGGAAGCCCATATTCCTGATCACTGCATCTTTGCCTCCAACACTTCAGCTCTCCCTATAACCGATATTGCAGCAGGCAGCAAACGCCCAGAGAAGGTTTGTTATCACACTTCAATTTTTTTATTTTTTATTTTTATAGCCAGCTGGAATCCTGTACATTGTTCTTGGGCACTATTTTTCCACATCGACCGTGCTTTTTTTCTACTCTCGGTCTTGAGGTGTCAGAAATTATGTAGCGTCATATAGTATTTTGTTTCTTGAATATGTTTTAATATTAACAGTACTGGCATTGGCTTTTGTTTACTGTGATGGGGAAGTTCATTTCATTTAAAAACTTTATCTTATGGTTAAAGGTTGAATTTTTTAATCTTTTAATATCCTGTGTCCTTTTCTACAAGAGTACTGTAGTTAATGACGTAGTCATGTGCATTGTATTAGGGACCATTAAAACCACAATCCCATCCCACAATCCCATATTAAAGTGGCCATTGCATTCCTATAAAGTATAGTTGTTCCTCTCCTGTATACCCTAGTAGTGGGTTCCATCCTGGAGGTCAGTCATTGACCTAGGGGGGGGGGGACTGTGATAAGCCTAGCAGGCTTCCTCTTCTCGACAATGAGAAACATTGAGGCAAATGGTGGGGGGGGAGGGACCTTTGACAAGTCACTGGCTTCCTGTCTTCAAGACCACTAGTGTTAGTGGCCCACAGGTAAATCGGCTAAAATCGAATGCATTCTCAATAGGTGTTGGCCTTTGACCATCCCTCTTTATGTTCCCGACTCGTGCTTAACCCCTTCCATCTGCTAATACTATTTTACCGTATTTTATTCATTAGAAAAGACAGGACTCTTCAGAACACTACATAATCTCCTCAAAGATCTGAACACCTTTCACTCTTGATGCTTTATTTTCTCTCCATGTTGTCATGCTTAATCAAATCTCCAGTGGATGGACATGACATTGTAGTACAGTATAACTTTTTTAACTTGTCTGTATCTTTACAAATGTGCACAACTTTGAATAAGTGTACTGTAAATAATATTTCCGAGCCCATAAACTTGGGTGTTAAAATATTTTTCATCACTTAAGATTTGTTTCCATCATGAAAGGCAGTGACTTTCATGAAGCCATTCTTGCAACTGTTTCGTGTTGTACACGATGTATTACATTCCTTATTTATTGAAAACACAATTACGTAATGAAATAAATTGCAAGAATGTGATGAATCTATGAATATAAATGTAGGCCTTGCAATGGTATTGAACCTGTGTCCCTGAACTCCTCAGCACACAGTCCAGTCGGTTGTGTGGAGGTTATCTTGAGGTCATCTTGAGATGATTTCGGGGCTTTAGTGTCCCCACGGCCCGGTCCTCAACCAGGCCTCCACCTCCAGGAAGCAGCCCGTGACAGCTGACTAACACCCAGGTACCTATTTTACTGCTAGGTAACAGGGGCATAGGGTGAAAGAAACTCTGCCCATTGTTTCTCGCCGGCGCCCGGGATCGAACCCGGGACCACAGGATCACAAGTCCAGCGTGCTGTTCGCTCGGCCGACCGGCTCCCTTTCGGATGTCCGAAGCGTTCAGGGACGTGGGTTCAATTCCATTGTATGGCCTCGGTATTTACTCAGCATTATAACCGAGTGTTGTTTGGGCATGACTTGGTACAAGTTTGGGTGTTGGTGTCCACACAGGTGATAGGCATGCACTACTTCTCCCCCGTGGACAAGATGCAGCTGTTGGAGATTATCACGACAGAGAAGACCTCCCAGGACACCACAGCTGCTGCAGTCGACGTGGGACTCAAGCAAGGCAAAGTAAGTCCTATCTAATCTTTTTAGTTTTACAGTACAATTGTAAATATTGCGAGTAACTTTTAATTGTGTTTGAGTCTTCCAGTGTAAAATGGCTTGTATTGTGAGAGATACTGGTAATGGACGCCGGGAATACTTTTGTGATCGCCTTAACGCTATCGCACTCCATGCGGGCGTGCCGCAGACTGTGATGTCATGGTCCCAATGTTTGGGAGAGCATGCGGTGACACCAAAAACTGTATACTCTTTTCAGTTTTCTCACCTTAATTCTTGTGCTATGTCGTTCATTTTGGCATCATTGTGTTCGCAATAGAATTCCCTATAGGGGTATATGCATATAAGGTCCAAAAGCCCGCCGTGACTCCCCACAGCAAAGTCTAAAGTCGGCCAAGTTACCCGTGAATGAGCACCAATTGGCACACCTGCAGAGTAATGTATATACTCGTTCAGTTTGATAACATCAATTTTCGTGTTACATGTTTTATTTTGGTATCAAATTGTTCGCAAAATAAAGGCGCGTATTTTAAAACTAATCCCATAATAATAGAACAATAAATGGAATTTTAACAAATATTTTAACGTTTGAACGCTCGTCGCCACAAAATTATTTATATATTTCCAGTGTTCTGACACCATTTTTCGTGTTACGTCTTTCATTTTGGCAGGTATTTTAAAACTAGTCCCATAGTAATAGAACAATAAATGGAATTTTAGCAAATACAGTGGCACCTTGATTAATGATTGTAATCCGTTCTGGCACCGAGCTCGTTATGTGGAAAACTTGTCTTAAGAAACGAATTTCCCCATTTAAAATAAAGGAAATAAATTTAATCTGTTCCACTCCCAAAAACATCCATACTTGTATGACATTTTATAATGTAAATATAATACTGCACATGTACTAGTAGTGTTATAAATTGAAATTTGAACCAGTAATATTGTGAACATTTTTTTAGTGGACACATTTGTGATGTTTATCATCGTTATTAGCACAGGTCTGTAATTTAGAGGGTCTTCTCTGCTATCATTTTTATAGATTGGAACTATGTTTGCCTTTTTCCACATATCTGCTAAGATTCCTGTACTCAAAGATGTTTGGAATATCAATTGAAGTGGAATTCAGGTCAGGTGCACATCCTCCCAGAACACGAGGTGAAACCCATCTGACACTTCAGAGAAAGTATGCAATATTGTCTTTCCTGCTGGTTAAGTATTAATAGTAACCAGAGTTTGCATGGAGGTTTAAGCCATTTGGCATTTATAGATAAATTATGCTGACATTGAGAGTACTAAATGATCAAATGAAATAATTTTTTTCAGGTTGTAATTGTAGTTAAGGATGGGCCAGGATTTTACACTACAAGAATTTTGAGCGTCATGCTGGATACTGGCATACTGCTGTTCCAAGAAGGTGTAGATCCCAAAAGGATGGACAAAGTTTCAAAAGCTTTTGGTTGGCCTGTGGGTACTGCAACACTGCTTGATGAAGTTGGTAAGGAATTAGTTTAAACTGACAGTTTAGTGGAATGGAATGTTATTTTATTAATGTGAAGGTGTTTTTTTTCAGGAAGTGCAATGTGTAAGATTTAATGGCATAATGAGTGATTGTTTCATATTGATATTTTCATACGGCAAGGTTGAGTAATGTCTGCATGGTTGTTCATCACATACTATATGGATAGTAGTCGTGAGGGAAGTGAAGGCGAGGCTGTGAGAATGGGATATTAATTCAATGTATGGTAGGAGTAAAGTAGCGTATATCTGATTTAACGTATATAAATTATGTAGCTCTTGAAAAATGCTTCCATATATAGACTAGTTGAGTTTTATTGATGTACTGTATGTGTGAAAAGACTAACAAAGGATGTACTGTGGGCAAACATATTGGTAGTGGGGAGAGTAGGCAAATACAAATACACGAGTACACAGGGCTCACATTTGCCTCCTCAGGTGTAATGACTGGGAATTTCACAAGAGACCTGCAATCACAACCTTGCAACTTGTAATAGCCACTTGCTAATTACCCAAGGGGATAATAAATCTAATACTTACAATACTGCAGTAGGAGGCAACATTTCGGAAAGGCACAGTCAACAATGAGGGGTCACTGAGTGTTCATAAGCAGGTAGTGAATGCAAGAAATGATCATCATTAGAGCAGATGACAAGATGCCGACATGTCAATAGTCAAGAAAATACATGATGATAATCTCTGCCATGAGCAAGTCATAATTTTGTCCCATGAGTTGCCCCAAACTACTAATGTTATAGAGTGTAAGATGCTGGGGATCTTGCATCAAAAGTTTGTTGATGCAGGCTGTGAAGCAGCTCTACCCTGGTCTGTAATCAAGACTGACATAAGTGAATTAATATTGCAGGAGATTAATAATTGGGAAGGAATTAATTGAAAGCATATATAACAAAATACCAATTTATTACAGAAATTGAGCACTATTACATTCTGTTAAGAGAGTATCATGCCAGCAAAAGCCGTGCAGTCAGCATTATCCAGCAGGGAGATATCCCATAGGGATTGAGCTTAACATTTGTGATGACTCTTTGGCACTGGCAAAGCAAGGGAAAATGACTGGTATACACAGCAGAATACTATAACACTTGTCAGACAAAAACACTAGCAATGGAGTTATACCTTATCACAGAACTATACAAAGTGTATACAAGATACATCAATTCCTGAGAAAGATAGCACAATAACACACAAAAATTACACTCGATATCCCCCCTTCCAGACACCTTGGGGCCCAGTTGTCTGGATAAGTAGTAGTGGCTGGATAAGTAGTCGTGGCTGGATAAGTAGTCGTGGCTGGATAAGTAGTCGTGGCTGGATAAGTAGTCGTGGCTGGATAAGTAGTCGTGGCTGGATAAGTAGTCGTGTCTGGATAAGTAGTAGAATGTCCCCTAATTCCCCCCCCCCCCCCACCAGCACAAACGATAACAACTTTATGCACAAAAGTATGTAACATTATGTTGTTGTTTCACTAGATACTTTAAACAAAAATCATAGAATAGTGGTAATACAGCAACAATATATATGGTACTCACCATGTGTCAACATGTTTCTCTACATATAATAATACTGTAATAATAATAATTAATAATTATGATCTTGCAATAATGTGAAGGTGAGTATGGTGGTGTTAACATAGGGTTGAGGCCTAGATGTTGAGGCTTGGCTTGGGTTTTTGTTTAGTTTGGTTAGGTTGTTTAGTTAGCTCTGGTTTGGTTAGCTCTGGTTTGGTTAGCTCTGGTTTGGTTAGCTCTGGTTTGGTTAGCTCTGGTTTGGTTAGCTCTGGTTTGGTTAGCTCTGGTTTGGTTTGGATCAGATCAGTTCGGTTTGGTTAGCTTTGGGTTGCTTTGGTTTGGTCAGTTTGCTTTGGTTTGGTTAGCTTTGGTTTGGTTAGCTTTGGTTTGGTTAGGTTAGCTTTGGTTAGCTTTGATTAGGTTTAGTTGGGTTTGGTTATGTTAGTTTGGAGATGTCACAATAACGTGGCTGAAGATATGAAGACTAAACCACACACCAGAAGATGAAGGGACGACCACGTTTCGGTCCGTCCAGGACAATGGTAAAGTCAATGGTCTGTCCTGGTTAAGTCAATGGTCCGTCCTGGACCATTATCACAATCGACTTGATAATGGTCCAATACGGACCGAAATGTTGTCGTCTCTTCATCTTCTGGTGTTTGGTTTAGTCTTATGTTAGTTTGGGTTTGGTTAGGTTATGTTTGGTTGGGTTAGGTTAACATATTCTAGTACAAATGTTTCATTGGCATTTTAAATTTGCTCAGGACAGAGAATCACGATCTCAAATATGGACACATTCCTCTGCACCTCTGTCCACCACCCAGGAGACATTCTAGATTCATCTTCCTTTATAAGGTGATGATCGGATAATAGATCATCACAATATGTTTTCTCTTGACTTCACTGCTTGTTGAAGCCCTAAGCAACATATTCACTGCATTTCATGATGTTCTAGTAGCAGAATGCAAAAAATATGCACAGATATATAACAGTGAAAGCGAATGGGGGTTTTGTCCGCTGCGGGTAAACAAAAGCAAATCCGGTCATGCCACTGGCAGCTTGGTGGCTGGCCACGGAACTACATAGGCTTCTGAGTGGAGGTGCTGCCTGGGGCCAGATTGCAAACGAATAGATGGAATAAATGAATGATTGAGGTCTGATAGCAAGGTCAGGGAGTGTATAGGTCACCAAGATACAATAATTACGTGTACAACTGATCCACTGACTGGTACTGAGTATGTCAAAATATTCTTGTCTACTCGAGACAGATGAATCGACACTCGATACAAAAGTCATACAGACTCCATTCAAATGTGAAGTCATTAAAATCGAGATGATAATTTGACACTGGAAACGGTGGTCTCCCAAGATCAAAAGGTATAAAAAATTTTATATGTTGTATCTTTAATTTGGGTTAACTTGGTTATTTCTATTTGAATTTTAACTTTCATTTTGTTATTGATTAAATAAATAAAAGCCCAACCTGGGCAGGTTGGGTTAAAGAAAAACTCAGTATGATTGGTATGGTCCAATTTGGTATGCTCGAAATAAATTTTTTAATTAATATTCAGCTGTGTTCACTGCTAGATAAGAGAGGTATTAAATAATATACACGTGGAAAATAATGTACTATAATGTACAGGTCCCAAATGTACACAGTAAAATAACAACATTGTGAGCTTTTCCTTGTCTTCATGACTTCCTCCTGCAGCAGTTGCCATAGGTGCATTAGGCAGACTCCCTTGCATGAGCTAGAACTATCAGGTATTCAAGAAATGCCTAGAGCAGCTTTCTCAATACTTTCCCAAGTATTCTGTCAAGATATGACCCTTCAGAGTGGCCTACTCAAGACAGAGTTATACCTATAGGACTGTGAGTCATGCTGGTCGTGCCATTCTCTGTGTGTATGAGGTGCACTGAATGGTAAAGGTCCACATCAATTTGTTTGAAGGTAGATGAGTGCTAGCATGGGGGTCGTGTAAGTTAGGTGGTTGATATCGAGAGTTAGGTCTAACGGAAAGATTCGTTTTTTTTTTTTTTTTTTTTTTTTTAACTCTTGCTCCCAGAGCCATCCCAAACTAAAACTTATACCAGTGTGAAAATAAATTTAACTGTATAATATCATTTTTACCCCCAAAATATTAGATGTACACACAACTCACAGTAACGTGATACATCAAATGAAAAAAAATGAAACAAAGATGCATCTAATTAACAAATAAATATTAGATATACTTTTTTATGTAAGTCGGCCACGTGCTTTATGTGAACGCCTGTTATCCAGAAATGCCTGTTATCTAATTGGGGTTTGTTCGGATAAAAAAGTTCTGATAACTGGTGGGTCAGGAAGTCTGAATAAAAATGTGCAATAAAGATGGAACAAGTTTGCCCAGTAGCCGTACATGGCGCCACCTGAGCAGTGTTCATACACTAATGGATGGCTCGGAAGCTTTCAACTCTGCCGTGGCATTAGGTACATTAGAGTACATGGTGAAAAGCAGTCTGCTGAGGTTACCTCATCACCATTACTCTCCACTTCAGTCAACCCAACACTATCACCATCCACCACCACCTTTTGTATCTAAATACATGCTTCATCAATTATAATCTTCAAGTTAACAAGCAGATCAGAACTTCTCATATTGGTGAGTACAAACAAACCACTGTCAAATTTCTGCAACAAAATTATAAATTTTTTCCCCTATAGCTTTTCAGGATGATGAACCACTTATCCGAACACAATATATTACCCGTTCAGTTTCGGTCCCAAGGGGTTCGGAGAGCACATGGGGTGACTGTATTCGTATTTAAGGTCAAAGATCATGCCACGTGATCTTGAAATAAAAAAATCAATATTTAATGTAAATCTTTTCATAAAAAAAACTTCCTTCACTTCAAAACAAACCCAACATGAAGGTTTTACCTCAGAAGCAAAGTTTATGAATTTTTTGTTGGGCTCATAAGCAAGTTGTAGTATTTTGTATCCCATTGGCAACCCTGCTGTATGAATGTCATACATCACTTTGGACTAAAATTTTGTATGTGAATGTTATTTGATGTCCTCTACCATCCTACCAAATTTCAAATAAATCCGAGATGGCTGGGTTTGAGAGCTGTGGGGATTTGGCATGGAATGACCCCATCCTTCTTGATTATCTTGAGATTATTTCGGGGCTTTAGTGTCCCCGCGGCCCGGTCCTCGACCAGGCCTCCACCCCCAGGAAGCAGCCTGTGACAACTGACTTAACACCCAGGTACCTATTTTACTGCTAGGTAACAGGGGCATAGGGTGAAAAAAAACTCTGCCCGTTGTTCTCACCGACGCCTGGGATTGAACCCAGGACCACAGGATCACAAGTCTAGCGTGCTGTCCGCTCGGCCGACCGGGGAGCCGGTCGGCCGAGCTCCTTGGTCGGTTTGATCCACATAAACTGAATTTGTTTTGGCATATACTGTACAGGCGAAGTGGCATCTTTTATGATTCTGTACTCCAAAGATTAATGTATAATTTTATGGCTTATTGAATAGTTGTATTTTTTGTTTTCCAGGATGTGATGTTGGCTTGCATGTGGCAAACCACCTTGTTAAAGTGCTGGGTGGTTCCAGAGCTGGTGACATCAATGTTCTGAAGGATATGGTAGCTGCTGGATTCCTTGGTTGGTATATATTTTTGCTTTAGTAAGTTATGTCAAGTTGTGACCGAGTGTGAGAAGACCATGGTGTAAGGTAATTTAATTATCTGGAGAAAGCACTTAAGTCAGTAAGACTATTTAGCACTTGAAAGAGCACAAAGTGGGTGGGAACCAGGTGAGCTGAAAGTGGTTCGTTACACGGGAGTGTGTTTGACGTTGCACCACGTCACCAATTGAGGAACTGTGCTCATCTGGTCTCAAAGTGTAGTGTGTTGTGGAGGATTTATTAATGGTGATGTTTGCTTATGCTCTATGTTGTGATCAGTCCTATTAATATACTCTAAATATTTTACATTGTGGTTAACATACTAGTGTAAACTGATACTATTGGTAAGAATTGGCACTGATACTCTGTAACTCATCTTACATAACACATCCATCAATTAGTGTGGGATAATGGTGCTATGTTCAATATTCTATACATATGCATTATTTTAGCTATTGGCATAACTATGTCGTAGCTGTTGCTGTACATTACCTTACATGCATCATTCTTCCTTGGCTTAGTTTCCACTTTACAGTGACACACAACTTCATTGTGCTGTGATGACCAAATCACACCAGAAAATCGAGAAATGACAATGTTTCGGTCCATCCTGGACCATTATCAGGTGGTGCAGCTTGATAATGGTCCAGGATGGACTGAAACGTTGTCATTTCTCCATTTTCTGATGTGTGTTTGGTCATCATATCCTCAGCCATGTTGTTGTGACAATTTGTCTGCTCATGTCTGACCTGTTACATAGTCAAGTGATTATCGCTTGTTAACAGAATGAATTCTAGTTGAATTCACACTTGAACTTGATTAAACCACATCCGAGGGCACGTAAACTACAACAATGGTAGTACGGCCAGATCAGGTACTACCATGGCTGTTATTGGAGGCTACAGGAGGACTTGGTCTTCTGTTACTTAGAATTTTCACGACATCTTGAAAGGGAACAGACACGAGGCCCTAAACCTTAGACTACTAACGTATTCCTTGCAAAATTATGGAAAGATTAATCGGTGGTAGAATAGTGGAGCACTTGGAAAGGATAATCTTTGTATTGAATGGAGAACAAGGTTTTTTGAGTGAAATTCATGCCTGACAAGTTTTATATGTTTGTCAGTTACCAAGACAAGACAGGCAAAAGAAGGCTGGGTAGAATGTATTTTCCTAGATTGTCAAAAAGTATTTGATAGTGTTCTCTCTGAAAGTTATACTGTAGTGTATAAGATGGTGGGAGAATCTGGAATAACCCAAAAGACAGCTGCGTAAGGGAGTACCTAATGCATAAGAAACAAAAGGTCAGTTATAGGTAGTGGTGAACTTCAGGGATGGAACAAGCAGTCCTCCAAGGCTTGGTCCTACAACCATTACTCTTCTTAATCTATATAAATGACCTGCCGAAGGGAGTGAGCATGTACACGTTAATGATTGCAGACGATGGTAACAAATGAGAAGTAATATCTGAGGAGGACTGTTGGAGTGCTGCAGAAAGACATTGATAGACTCCAGTAGTAGGCAAACAAATGGCTATTAGAGTTTAACCTTAACAAGTTCATAATAAGGAAGACGGGAAAAGATGACAGGAGACTAGAAGGAATGTACACCCTAAGGAGAAGGCAACTACAAGAGTCAGAAAGAGAGATACTGTACGTGGAATTGGCTAAACAGTAATTCCGATGCTAATATTGTAAGCATGTACTAGATAACATTGACAGCATATGACACGCTGGCAAAAATACTAGTTTTGATAGATCAAGGAAATTTGAAGACGAGTACTAAAATTCATGGCATGGAATCCACACCTCGTGAGACCTGAGTTGAGGAATAGAAGGGATATGGTAACTACCGGCGCATACAAACTATTTTAGATAATAAAAAAAAGTGGACAAGAACAGCCTTTTTAAATTGAGAGAATATAAGAGAAACAAATTTCTGCCATATTGGAGTTGGAGATATGTGGTAGGAAGTTTAAAATGTGTTCATTGAAAATTAGTGGGGTGCCATAAGCACAGTTAGAGGTCACAGTTTGATCATCAGAGGTGAACTGAGTGACCTGCTAGACACTAAATATTGCTGGAATAAAGGAAGCTTTCAAGAGATTTAATAAGCTCTTACTGGAGTTACCAGATCATCCTGGTTGTGATGGCTATATGGGCCTTCAAGCTACAAAAATAAATAGTCTGTAGGAGAGAAATGTGCAGTGTCCATATTGAATTCCATCCCATCCCCATTGCTCGAGTTTCTGTACCTATCTGACTACTCACTGACCTGTTCACAAATTCAGAATTATAAATTTAGATAAAAATGTCACGGTTAACGTGTTCTCTCCTTACAGGCCGTAAAGCAGGTAAAGGTGTCTACGTATACGAACCGGGAGTGAAGGAACGAAACGTCAACGAAGGGGCGCTGCAGATCCTGAAGAATTATAGTGTTGCCCCCAAGGTAAAATAGTTTGATTTAAATTAAGAGATTTCATTGGTCAGATCCATGAACTTTACGGGTGAGGCAGAGTTGTCTGTACAGTAGTAGCTGGTGATGTAGATGCACTAATAATCTTAGAATTGGGTGTAATAAGTAGAATAATGAGTGATATTGGGAGACTTGCCTTGAAATCATGCACTTAGATTGAGTTTCCAATTTGATCTTTTTTTTTATATATAAAGTTACATTGTGTATTTGAGTAGTGTTGCCCCTTGAGTATAATTAATACACAATTTTATGGTTGGTCTACATTTTGATATTGTAGGTTTTCATACACCAGTCATGAAGGTCTTCTTTAAAAATTTGGATAATTCAGACTTTTCCTATATACCATAGTCTTTTATTTTTGTTTATACCTTAGTGTTGCAGGTTTTATCATTTGTTAATTTTATTTTTAAATGTAATGTATAAATATTGAGGTTGTATGTTGGAACTGAATCTGCGCCCCAGATCACCTAAGGCACCGTGTCAGGAGATGAGCACCTTTTGCGACACCTGTGTGTGGACGGGGTATCACGTACCACTTGGCTTGTGGTACTGGATGGTGCTTTCTTAACTCCATGCAAGTCAAGTAGTAATCTGCTCAGGATACTTTTAAGAATTTTATGGTCCAGTCGCTAGTACGTGTGTGTGTGTGCCTGAGAGGGTTTGTTATCTTAAGGTTATCATGAGATGACTTCGGGGCTCAGCGTCCCTGCGGCCCGGTCCTCGACCAGGCCTCCTTTTTGTTACACACTCCCAGGAAGCAGCCCGTAGCAGCTGTTTAACTCCCAGGTACCTATTTACTGCTAGGTAACAGGAGCATCAGAGTAAAAGAAACTCTACCCAATTGTTTCCGCCTCAACTGGGGATCAAACCCGGAACCTCAAGACTACGAATCCGAAGCGCTGTCCACTCAGCTGTCAGGCCCCAAATATTTGGCTAAGGCATTGTTAGTCGTACGGCCCCAATATTTGTTCAGAGATTCATCTCACTATTGTGATATTGAAAATAAATGTATAATTTTTGGTGGTTAAAAAAATTGGCACACTTAAAATTTCAGAAGAGGTGCAGAATGATACATGGTGTAGTAGTAGTCTGGATTTGTTAGGTTGCACTGTACTATGGAAAGTATTTACACTCATTTGCACTTTTAATTTCAACTAGACCTTTACTCAAATGATCTGTGTTGAACTGATGACACTTAATGTCAGGCTGAGCTTTGTCTGCACCTAAGTGCACGACAAATTCTAACCTCTGAGCTCTGCATTTCAGCCTCGGTTATTTAATGCAATGACTAATTATTCTGTATTATATTTGCTTTTAAAATCGTATATCGAATTTGTGTTGTAATGTGGGTTAATCCACATTGAGTAAAAGTTGAGAGTGTGGCTTTGGAATCTGGTATTTTTAAGGAGCTATCCTACTGTTGCAGAAACAGTCACAAGTGTCAAGCATACTGGTGAAGAGATAAACATGTGTGTTTTGTATACAAAATGGTTCTACTCTATACAGTTTAGGTACTAATGGAAAATATGCATTGGTTTGGATATTTTCCTATAGGATGACATTTTTAAGACCAGTTGCTCCCAATTCTTGAGGTTATCTTGAGATGATTTCGGGGCTTTTTAGTGTCCCCGCGGCCCGGTCCTCGACCAGGCCTCCACCCCCAGGAAGCAGCCCGTGACAGCTGACTAACACCCAGGTACCTATTTTACTGCTAGGTAACAGGGGCATAGGGTGAAAGAAACTCTGCCCATTGTTTCTCGCCGGCGCCTGGGATTGAACCCAGGACCACAGGATCACAAGTCCAGCGTGCTGTCCGCTCGGCTCCCCAATTGGGCCCCACGCTAAAGGAGCCCTGTGCTAGGATAATCTATTCTAGTCTTGAGTAAGACCACCTTCTAACAGAGCCATATCTGTAAAGTATTGGCATAAACCAACAAACTTGCACGCTAATGTTTGTATGTGCAACTCTTTGACGGGATACTGCACACATAAGAGTCTTATAGGTTTACAGGTACTTAAGAAAGATAACATTGTTATATTGTCAGTTTTTATAAATCCAAAAAAATAACTTGTTTTAAACAATGCAGTTCACTTGTATCTAAAATGCTTTTTTTCTAAAAAAAAATTTGTATTTAATATTTTTAATAAATCATTTCACTAAGACCTTGGCTGTGAACCTGGGGGCCCTGCCAAAAATGTTCCCAATTGGGCCCCCACAGCTCCTAAGACCGGCCCCGCCCTGTACGTACTAGTATTGAACCTTAGGCATAAGAACGTGCATCAATACACTTTGTATTTAGATGTACACGTTTTGTAAGGTAGAGGTTATATCTACTTGGTACTTCCTTCCTTGTCAAACTGTAGAAATCCTGGAAGAAAACAGCAATTAGAAAGAATATTTTGAGGTGAAAGGGTTAACCAGGGCACGATATATAAAGTTATTGAAAACAACCGTTGAAAGAGGCCTCAAAATTAGCTAGTTATTGTAACTAGAGAAGGGTTGTGGACTTTTAAAGTTCATTACTTCAGTTAGCTGCAAGAGAATATTTTCATGTTCAGTACATGTAAGGATCTTGTAGTGGCCTGGTCACCACAGCTGGCGGTCAACTAAAAGGTCTCCCATTTGATTTTAGCAGCAGGAGAGAGATGTTTAGACGTGTTTGCTTTCAGGGGACTCCTCTGTTCAGCTAGCAGTAAGTCAGTACCCAGGAGTTAGGCAACTGGAGTGGGTTGCATCTTAAGGAAGATCAGTAGTTGACTTGGGGAATCTTGATAACCCCAACAGCCTTCCAGTCCCTCCAACAGTGGGAACCTTGTGCCGTACTGCGTGTGATATTAATTTTTTTTAACGATAAATTTTATTTAAAAATTTATTTGTTACTGAAATGGCTTTTTGTATCGTTAATAATTTTTGTTTTTAGCTTCCTTTGACGGATGAAGCAATCCAGATGCGCATGGCCAGCCAGTTCATCAATGAAGCAATCCTTTGCCTACAGGAAGGTATCCTGAACAACCCGGTGAGTATATTTTGTTGCATTCCACTTCATTGGGAAAATTGAACAAGTTTTATATTAGTAATTAGATACAGTACATTCATATTAATTTATGAAGTTAGCCAACATTTTTGGTTTCTGGAAATTAACATGAAAATGTCTCTATGTACAAATTTGAAATTGATACACTTATTGGTTTTTGGGTTTGATTCTTGATTAGGGCAAGATGTTAAGAACATAAGAATGAAGGTAACTGCAGAAGGTCTATTGGCCCATACGAGGCAGCTTCTATATATGTCCACCCAATCTCATTCATATATACAGTATGTCTAACCTACGCCTGAAAAAATCAAGGGATCCTACTTCTATTATGTTAAGCGGTAATTGGTTCCACAAATCAACAACCCTCTTACCGAACTGGAATTTACCCAGGTCTTTCCTAAATCTAACACGTTTGATTCAGGAAATTTTGGACACATTTCCTTATGCACTGTGTGTGTTTACCAAGAGGTAGGTTGATAGCCTACCAGACTCGCAGGACCTTGGTAAACTCAAGAGGCTTCCTGTACATGATTGCTGGGTAACGTGCCAATTAGTCTTTAGGTCACTAGGCTTACACAGTGCACATTCCCTAATGCCAAGTGCTGTACACAACAGCAATGATGTTATTACCCTGTTTACCCACTTGGTTGGCTGGCATCATACCACAGAAAATTGGGACAAATTCTAGGAAAAGGTTGTAAATGTGACCATTGTTTTGTTTTATCTTGAACACTTACGTACATAGGATGGATCGTGGTGGCCCGGTGCCGCCACCTCTAGCAGAGTATCAACAGCACTGTGCTATTACTTCATAAGACTGAGTGTATAGCACTTCTCTGGAGTTGTCCTGTGCAAACAAAACATTTACTTCCTCCCCAGTGTTGCCACCTAGCCTTGTTCCTCAACCACCCCATTTTCTCATTGCTTTTCACACAGTCTCTGCTACCTTACTCTCACCATGTATGCCTAGCATCTTGGTCTTCCTCTTCTCAAATACTCTCATAATGAGTGTACTGGTCTTTTTCAAAGATGGGATGGCAAACAGTCTCGGTGCATTCCCCCAATTGTGTAATTTATAGACTTATAAATATGAGTTATAGATATAAGATATAACTCTTATATCTAGTTTATTCCTTGCTGTATTGTAATGCTAATAGTGGTGCTCAGTGTGTTTATTTTTCCTACTCTAATTGTTGATTGTGTCATGATGGTGAATAGAGTGATTTTCAAGAGGAAACTAGATCTATTCCTCCAAGGAGTGCCGGACCAACCGGGCTGTGGTGGGTATGTGGGCCTGCGGGCCGCTCCAAGCAACAGCCTGGTGGACCAAACTCTCACAAGTCGAGCCTGGCCTCGGGCCGGGCTTGGGGAGTAGAAGAACTCCCAGAACCCCATCAACCAGATCAACCAGATACCAACCAGAGTAGGCACTACCACTCCATGCAGATATCTTGACTGAATTTCCTATGTTCTTGTTCTAACTAGGGCTTAAATTTCACCCCTCTCTCTCCTTCCTGAACATTGCTCAAAATTTTAGGTTGGGCAATTACATCCCAGATCTGCCTTGAATGTAGAGGTGGTTCTGGGAGTGGTGTTGGTGCGGCCGGGTCTGACGAGGCCTCCGGGCTGGTCAGGTACCCTGTGGAGGGGTTTTAACCACTTCCTTCTTGAACCAGAGGTCTGTTAGTAATGCCTCTTGTATTCACATGTTGAAAAGACTTGTTTGCTTAGTTTGTGTGGATTTATTGTACTCCTACCTTTAAATGGGGCCGGTGCGTGAGGCGAACTTGCAATCTGCTAGACATACGTAGCATTAGGCGAGAGCGCCCGTAATCGCGCACGTCGTGTGGCTCGAGAGGCCTTCAAAGCAGCGCCTCTGTATTGTGTCACGACGATTCCTTCCAATCTCCGTGCGATCACTTCTCCAGCCTACGACTGCACATAGTCAGCTATCGATCGGTCTGTGTGCATGGGAACAGAGCACCAACTTTCTTCCATGTCATGGGAAGGCTGAACAAAAACAGTGGTCTCGCCTCTCTCCACCAACGAGGAGGCGACAAGCCACACGGCACCTCGGATGCATTTTCGATGGTTCCTTTCATATAAAAGGGGTGACGCCGAGGAAAATAAGACTCGCGTCCCTACCAAAACAATCGTGCATCGATTCTTAAGCCATTATTGGTGTTATGGTGACCAGAGTTGGTCCCACTCCTCTTATTAATATTTTCCACACCAGACCACAGTATTTCTTGCCTGGATTCAAGATCTATAATTTAAGAAATTTTAAGTAGTCCCAATAAATTAAGTGTATTTGGTGGCTTCTGAAAGTAAATATTCCATTGCACATAGTCCAGTTCAGCAACATCTCCAGGCTTTAATTGAACGGATGTCAGGGTGCAACATATTCCACCCTGACATACTGAAGTAGTGTTTTAAAAAGATGGTCATGGAGATGGATAGAGTGGTTTTGGATTACGAGGTAGTCTTTTGTCATGTCAAACCTTCATATTGCATATTGTACTATCTTGCCAGTGAAGTTACTGCCTCAGTGCAGTAGGGAATGGAATTTGCAATCAACTTGGTATATATACACCGTTATAATATATAAAACAGGAAAAGTCGAGTATTTTAATTAATGTCTTGTTCTGAGATTTGCATATTACAGTTTAGCTTTGAAAATTTGACCCAGTTTAGATGGTTATTTAAATAGCATCTGATCATAATTCTAACTGCATTTTTTTGCCCTTATCAGCTTGAGGGCGACATTGGTGCTGTTTTCGGCTTGGGCTTCCCTCCATTCTCTGGTGGACCATTCCGCTTTGTTGACACCTATGGAGCAGACAAATTAGTGGCCAAAATGAGAGAATATGAAGCAGCATATGGAGCATCGTACACACCCTGCCAGTTGCTGCTTGATCATGCTGCAGACCCATCAAAGAAGTTCTTCAAATAAATTACCTTAATTACCTGCTAAATATTTGAAGGCAAACTGAAAATTTCAGCGTCTTACCTAATTTTAAGGGTAAAAGGAAAAGTCAGACTTCCAACTTGATCTGCTCTATCATATTATAAATTAAAATACCTATTTGTAATACAAGTACAGTACCCCTGTACTGTATATTTTAGAAATATTGTAACTGTAGGCACATAGTCATAACACTTGTTCATATTTGTACACAGTTTAGTTGATCTTAGCCATACAGTATTTGATATTTTTCATCTTGTAGCGTGCAGAGTAAGACCTCTTCCTGGTGACTATAAGGATGCAACCGGTGTGTGTTCTGTGCCGTGCATGAAACATTTAATAGTGTATATTTGTAAATATGGCAGAGGTCTTATCTTTTTACAAGTTGATAATGGATAATGAGTCATGCACGGGCATAGAGTTAATCAATGCAACATTTTAGGTTAGTGTTTTTGTAAAATACATGTAATTGTTTAATGAATGTAGTTAAAGAAGGCAGTTTAATTACATGTCCTGAAGTTTCATGGTACAGTACATGAATTTGTTATAAAGAAACTGTTCATAATCCACTTTGTTTCATGAAACCCTCAGCCAAGTCTAGTTAATATTGGTACAAAACATATTTAATACAACGCTTTTTGTATTAGCCATTTATTTTGTTTGACATTGGTGGTAACTAGTTGTTCAACTTTCCAAATGTGTGTAAGTATGTTGGTACATGTTTGAGTGGCAAATTTGGTTGTTGAATTTGCTAATTTATCAAGTGCCAACGAGGGTGGGTACTTAGTAATGCTGTATTTTGTCTATTGAAGAGGTTGTTGTGTTTAATATCGGTTGGCAATTTGACAGGATTTGTCGACATTAAAAATTGCTTTCTTGAGGCATTCAAGAATTCATTAAACTTTGAAAATTATTGTCACAGAAGAAACTATTTTGATAAAATAACTGAAAACTTGAGAGTAGGAATAGCCATAGAATGCAAACAATTAAAATATTTGGTAAAATGCTGTTTTAATGAAGAAGAAGAGGCCTTTATATTATGGGTCAGTGATTAGTGGAATTTTATCATTTTGGTACTTTTTGTTGCTGTCATTTTTATATTTAATGTGCATATGGAATATTTATTGAGAGCTTGTTAAGAGCATCTCTAGTATTAGCAGCGTAGTGAATGTCACGACATGTTTTAGTGATGTATAATTTAAATCTCTGGTTGGTTGCATCGGCAGACACACTTGATTATGTTTTGCAGTATTTTCTTTTTATCGCTGCTATTACAAATAATGAACAAAATACAAAATGTATTCCAATTGGCAGGGTTTGTGACAGCAGTTAAAGAAGGTGTGCTTCACTGATATCAACCGTGTGAATAAGAAGACTCGTTCATATTTTTCAATTTAATTTAAGGTCAATGTAAATAATTTTGTTCAGTACAAAAATGCCTTGGAAGGCAATTTGTCCCATGAGAACAAGAAGCAAAATTGATTATAAAATCATAAGTGTATTGCTGGACTGTTGTAGACTTTCATTTCTGGTATTAAGACTGAATTCATAAGAGGTAGAACAGAGGCAAGATGTCTTTCTGCAATACTAGTAAATCTTAAGGATGTTAAATCTATATGATAGAGGCAGTACAGACTTTGAGGCAGTTGCTCAGTTGACCAGCTCTTGCTATAATATTTTCAAGCTTTATGGCCTATTTATAATATTCATGTATTAATCTGCCAATGACTGGCCATGTATTATAACAATAGCAATACCAGTCACTATGCTATACTACATAGACTTAATTTATGCTAATGAAGTGCTCACATCATCTGGTCAAGCACCAGAGGCACCAGCAAGTTGGGAATTGCCAGAGTAGGCAAAAACTGCAGACCAGTATACATACATGTAGAGAGTGCACCAACCAGGCCTGAACTTTGCAGGGACTCCACAGACAGTTGAGCACACGGGGGAATGTCCCCAGACCTGCCCCCAATACCTGGAGTGGGGATGGAGGGAGGGGTAAAACCAACTTTGCAAAACATCAACCATACTGAATAACCACAAAACATTACTGGCCACCAAAACAGAATTATGATAGTTTTCTTTAATATAAAGAAATTATTGGTTTGTGTATTATTACTTTTCTACATTTTTTTTTTTTTTTTAATCATGTGCCTCATCACGCTGATCAACACCGACTCTGAAAGGGTAGTTTTAGTTGGTTTAAGGCGAATAGCTCAGTAGCTATCTAAAGAATGAAGAGTATTTGTTCAAGCAACAGGAACAAAACCAAGGAATTTACTTCAAAGTCTATAGGTGTTGTTCTATACTAAGACAAGTGACATGAGCCAGGATGAATTCCCTAGGTGGTGGTGGTTGTACAGGCCAACCAGCTAGAGGCGGTGTAGACTGGTGGCATAAAAAGTATGAGAGTTGTGTGGGTGAAATATAAGAAGCTAGCACTGGGTATGCAACACTGGGGTTCCCTAGAGGCATACACCTGGTAGGCTCATTTAGCCCGGGGCATTCATAGCGAGTGGTTATGTTGCGCATCCCACTGTGGCGCCTCGCCAGCTGTTAATGCAGTTAAGTGGTATGACGTTATGACACCCTGGTGCTACATAGCCTTCCTGGCTTGGTGCCCTCTTTTGATAATTACTTATGACATCCACCAAGGAACTGAGCAAAAACCATTGCTCAGGTCATTGCTTTAATTTGGTGGCCTGCTTCCTTTAAAGTAATAAATTGTTGGTTGTAACCCATAAGACATGAAGTATTGTGTTTCCTAGGGAGAAATGGTGAGTACATGCCATTGTAGAAACATTGGTTTGGTTGTTCCAGGAAGATTTCTTCAAGGTCTACCTTGCTGTAACAAGGTATTGCTCTATTGAACATTTTGGAATGTTCACAGACCTTGAATATGTCTTCCTGGGATGACCAAACAGATGTTTCTGTAATGGCAGGACATCACGTTTCCCCCTCGTAAACCCAACCAATGCTTCATGTCAACCAGGCTACAACCAACAATTAATTTATTACCTGAATTTGGTGGTCTGCTTCCTTTAAAGCAATGCTCTGTGCAATGTTTTCATTGCTTAGTTCCTTGGTAGATGCTGCCATAACAATGGCTGTTAACTATGATGACAGCCGGCAAGGTGCCAGAGTGGCATGTGCAACATAACCACTCGCTATGAATGCGCTGGGACAAATTAGTGTACCAGCTGTGTGCCTCCAGGAAGCTGGGGAACTGGCTGACATGAGAGAGAAGTTAATGCTGGGTACATATTTCACCCACTCATATTGGTTTTGGTATTTAGGGCTGTGTGGTGCTTGGCGCACACATGCCACAACTGTCATCCTAGTTAATTTCCACCACATATTTTAGCAGAAAATACCCCACATGTCTCCCACACCCTTTCCTCCACCTTCTCTCTGGTGTAGTAAGAATACTCATCTGATAAACTTTTTTCTTGCATATCCAGTCAGCCAGGTATCTTATGTAAACCTGTAGATGATATGGGAGCCTTCATTAGATGCCTGATATGACTGGTAACCAACAGTAAATCGAACCAGGTTCCCTATTCATGAAATACACATGAACATGTGAGCTCTCGAGCCTGCTGACAGGAGTCGGAAGTCATCTACTTTTGTTTTAAAAATATTTATTTATACAGTACTGTATATATATATTGCGAACAAGCTTAAATGGTCCCCAAGCATATATGTGACTGAAAACTCCACACCCTAGAAGGGACTCGAACCCAGACCACCAGGAGCACAAAGCAACTGGTGTACATACAGTACATTTAGTACTGGGGTACCTAAATATCATTAAGGATCACCAAGCAGTTAAGATACCATGTACCCCAGTTGCATTGTGCTCCTGGTGGTCTGGGTTCGAGTTGCTTCTGGGGTGTGGAGTATATATATGATATATAAAGGTTAAAGTATTTACTTAAGTCATCTTTCACAAAGGTGGCCCTCAAAGTCCATGTTTTACTGTTATCTCAACGAAATGACTTGATCATCACCTTCACTCTACAGCCACAAGTACAGTATTGGACATCTGGCAACAGTAGACCTGTGTATCGTCGGATAATATGTATAACTACAATATCACTAATCACCAGCACAACTAGGCGAGTACTAATGGGTTACTAAATTCATAATCAACTAATATCAGCACAACTTTTAAATTCATATTTTTCAGTGCTACATTGCACAAAGCAAGGACTGACTGTAAATATGGAAATGAGCCTAAGGTATCACAAAATAACAAATGGCAATACAGCAATTAATATTCAATTTATTTTTAGTATTATTACCATTGGTATTATTTTACATGCAATATCATTGGTTAATGCGGTTTCCATGAAATGTTGCTAAGTCCTTGAAAAGCTCGATGAAGCTGGTGGTTGTCGGCCCATGAAGAATTAAGATAGGAGTCGTCATCTTCATCTAACTTCTGTAAGGTGGAAAATTTTAAATATCCTTGAAATTTACTAAAACATTGAAGAATTACTAATGAAATACTGGCTATAAAAAAATCAACACAATAATAATGTCCTCCTCTGGTGGACCTTCGGTAGCTTGACTTGTCATCAGGATTACCAAAAAGCACAGTTGTTAAAACAACGACGGAGTCATCCTAAGCGATGAGGTAGTCAACACTGGGGGATTTGGAATCAACCCTGCTATTAAGTGGGAGAGGGATGGAGAGGTTCAAGTGAGTGAACCAAAGATGAAGCCCAGTCCAGGCTCATCGTAGCCAGGGCTATCGAGCCCAATCTTCCATCACTGTCCGACTTGGGTCTGGTCACGTCCCCCATGAGCATGTGTTTGACAAGTTGTTTTGGTTACCATGCATCACCGTTTCAAAAGTTTGGGCCCCGGACCCAAAGAATACCACCTACCAGGTCAGCAAGATAGGCCAGACGATGTCCGCTGCACAAAGGGGGTTACACCGTTTCTGTTTAAAAGGGGAGTCCTACTGCAGTGCATATTCTCCTATACTGGTGCAAAGACCTCTTTCTCCCTCCTGCCCCAGTCTGGACACCTAAACAGCCCCGAAGGGTGGTTCCTCCAGCAGGTCGATTGATAATCCAAATGAGAGCTCTACGTTTGTTTCATTTTCCACGTACGATGCCAGGAGAGAAGGAGAGGAGAGGGGATGGGGTAGAAGAGGCAACCTGCTCACTGGCCCCAGGGAGTTGTACACAAGACTGCTCACCATAAGAAACTCTTGAGGAGGTGGTTGCAGTGTAGTGGAATGGTTGTGGTTATACTTACCTATCAGTAACTGCAGGGGTAGTTAGATCTAGGTCTTTGTCCCAACACCTAACTGTTTATACCTGACACACTACCTCGCTCTGGATGGAACTGGCTTCAACACCCTTTTTCTTCAACTTGCTGACTATCCTTACAGAGAATGAGAACTTTATTACATTTGGAAGCATACCATGTATGCTCCAGGTAAATGCATGTCAGGCTTCCACTGACGGCCTCTCATCTTACCCATTATTAATTTAAATAGGCTTCTTTTGTCTACTTTATCTAATGGTTATACAGTGGAACCTCAACTTATGAATTTTTTGAGTTACGACCCCAATTTCGTTGGAAAATTCGACTCGACTTACGATCTTTGCCTGAATTTATGACTTTGTTGATAAATGTATGGGTCGACCGAGAGAGTGGCGCGCTTCAGTTTACCAGTGTCTCTCGCCTAGTGATGAGCGCACTTGAATTCTTTGTAAATTATTACAGTGTTTTTCTGCTTTTTTTTTTTAACATAAAAGTTATTATTACATATGCCATGGGTCCCAAGAAAGTCAGTGGTAAGGTTCAACTTAAGAAAATAGTTGTGAGTAGAGGCAGTAGAGGATGTCCCTTTCTCATTAAGAAAATGTGTGAAGTATGGGAAGAACTGCAAAGTTTTGTTGAAAAAACTCACCCAGATAAAGCTGTAGCAGGCCGTTGCATTGACCTTTTAAATGACAATGTGATGTCTTACTGCAGACAAGTGTTAAAATGTAGGGAAAAACGAGTGTCTTTAGACAGATTCTTAGTAAGACAAGCAAGCACCGAGCCACAAGCAGGTCCTAGTGGTATGCAGGCAAAACATAGAAGATAGAGTACCCCAGAAAAGTCATCACTGCCTGATGTTATAATGGAAGGGGACTCCCTTTCCAAACACTAACACCTCTTCCCCTCCCCCCCATCCTTCCTCACCATCTTCCATATGCCAACAAGAGTCATCAATAAAGGTAAGCTGTAACTTGTGCATATTATAGAACAAATTGTGTGTGTGTATTATTTATGAAATGTATTTTGAAGTAAATTTTTTTTTGAGTGAGGAATGGATTAATTCAAGTAACATTATTTCTTATGGAAAAATTTGCTTCTAGTTACGACCCATCTCTGGGAACGGATTAAATTAGTAAATGGAGGTACCATTGTATAGGGGTGGTGTAGTTGTGTAATGGTGGGTGGTGGTGGTGGTGGTAATGTAAGTGGATGTTGTGACAATGTCTCAAAAGATTATATTAACCTTAAGTTGTTCTCTTCTCTGAAACTCTGCTGCCATTAGGGCCTTTCGTTGCTCCTCTGTGAGGGTGGGTTCTCTGCTAGGCGGCCCCTGACCACGCTTCTGAACTTTCATAATCATCTGCAATGAATAGAACATTCATTTTGAATAAAAAATTTAATACAATGTGGAATTTACATCTTGAGGTTATCTTGAGATGATTTCGGGGCTTTTTAGGGTCCCCACAGCCAGGTCCTCGACCAGGCCTCCACCCCCAGGAAGTAGCTTGTGACAGCTGACTAACACCCAGGTACCTATTTACTGCTAGGTAACAGGGGCATAGGGTGAAAGAAACTCTGCCCATTGTTTCTCGCCGGTGCCCGGGATCGAACCAGGGACTACAGGATCACAAGTCTAGCGTGCTGTCCGCTCGGCCAACCGGCTCCCCGGTTCTGTATACAATGGTATACAGCTTACACAAAACGTTTAATTCTGGAGCCCATGGTACAGTATGTGTGTTGACCATCACTACTCTAAGTATAAATATATAAAACACTACCATGACAATACTCTGCAATAATACAATAAACCATGATCAAAAATTTTTATTCCACAATAAATTGACTACGGTTGAATAACAGTGCATATGCTTGTTATAACATTGCTAACTTCTAAACAATGTCAAAATGTATACTACTGTACCCTGCACTACTGTACCTATACTACGGCACCCTGGGTTTTCTCCCAACTGTAAAAATAACACAAGACAATTTCAGTGTTACGTGTTAATGTTGGTCTGAACAGGGGTAACATTCAGCACCAGTGCATCATGGATCATTTCAAATCATCAATGTCAGGTCATACTAGTGCCAGGGAGGTAAGGAAGAAGAGGTCAACCCAGATCAGAGTGACAAGAGAAAGCATGGTACAGTACCCAGAAATTCTTCATTACCTTGCAATCCTTAACTGGCATCACAGGTAAGGATTGCAAGGTTAGGGACTTGAAGCAGCAATCTGACCCAAGCACTAGGTTTCTAGCTGGCCACTTCCCTCCGGCCATCACAAGATGGCAGCTTGCTAGCCAAAACCATAGTTCAACATCGGATAGTTAGAAAATTGCAGGTACAGTAATGTGTAGAGCCCTAATTTGGGATCAGAAGATGCCATGGGAACCCTAGAGGCTCTAGATGAATTCCAGGTTACATTACTTTTGTAGCATGTCACAGTTTAGTGTGTGTGTGCAGGTTTGAGTCGTGCTCACGGCACCTACTGATTTTCTCAATGATACATCATGTTAATGTGATTTCTTTGTGCATCGGATTATGTTAAATTTTCATTCTTAGAAACTTTTGTTTCATGTGCAGTAGGTTCATGTTATACACTGTACTTGCTAGAGAATCATGCACATTGCAATGCTTCTCATGTATGACGAGCATTCTGTTTCCTGTGGCCTAAAAGTCTCCTCTCGTCTACTTTGTGCTTCAGTGATACATTCCTGCACTCAAGGTTCCCCAACATTTGTGGCCCCCTAAGTGCTTGGTTCTAGGACTAGACATTATGTTGGGCATTCCTCAAGGACTTTTGGTCAGCTTTCCCTTGGCCGAACTGTTTGCAGTGGAAACAATTTGTTTCATGTTTTCTGTTTTGGTTACAGGCTACCTTTGCCTGTCAGTGCCTTACAGTTAGACATGTTAAGGTAAGCTCTATGAGGTTAGTCAGGGGGAGTCATGTGTTCATATCCATCTTGGTGGGTGTCGGGGGCTTCTGTGTTGGAGTGTTCAATCTTCAGGCAGTGACCGAGGGGTTCCTTGGTTTACAGTTGGATGTTTTTAACTCAAAATCCGCTCCGTGCTGCTCGCCGACTGCTCCGTGCTGCTCACTGACTTCTTTCTGCTGCTTGAATCCTAATAACTGGCCATCAGGATTCTAATATTTTACCTTGAGTTTGCATATCTTTCACAGTCTGTGTTGCCACTATGATGGGGTTATGTTGTTTAACATCAGATTCTTGTGGTTTAGAATTCTCTTGCATTGTCTGTCCTTTTTCTCGTGGACATTCCTTGTGTTCACTGTTGTTCACAGGTATGTCATCTGTTGTGTCATTGTTCACCAGGCTGGCATCATCTTATCCTTCCTGGTTGTGCATTCCTCCTTTAGTAAACTTAGAATTGCCAGTCAAGTCTCATGCACTGTATCTTGTTAATTGCTAGTCTAAGTACCCTTTGTTTTGCAGTTATGTCATTAGAGTTTTTTCCTTCTTGAGGTTATCTTGAGATGATTTCGGGGCTTTTTTTTTTAGTGTCCCCGCGGCCCGGTCCTCGACCAGGCCTCCACCCCCAGGAAACAGCCCGTGACAGCTGACTAACACCCAGGTACCTATTTTACTGCTAGGTAACAGGGGCATAGGGTGAAAGAAACTCTGCACATTGTTTCTCGCCGGCGCCTGGGATCAAACCCAGGGCCACAGGATCACAAGTCCAGCGTGCTGTCCGCTCGGCCGACCGGCAAGCATATTATTAAACTTCAAAACCTAACTCGCCACTGCCACGATTGTATCCCAAGCATACACCAATCATCCTCCAACCCGTTCTCGCACTTTCTTACAGTCAATATGTGCTGCAATATTGCTGACTATACGAAAGTGCGAGAACGGGTTGCATCCTCCACCCCTCCCCCCCAAGTCCCCCTTCCATCCAGCACCCACCCAATACCTCCTTCCCCTCCCTCTCCACCCTCCCAATAAAATAATTTTTTTATTGACTATTCATGCCCGTGCCACCTCTTGGGTGGCTTAATCTTCTTCAATCAATCAATAATTTCTTACAAGTTGGAGTCCTATTAACACTTTCGCGCTCTCCGCAAAGGTCACTCAGCCAACCGAATGTGCGCGCTGCGTTTTTATCGCTTAAGCGTAAAAACAAAAATGTGTATACTCTTTTTACTCTTCTGGCCTTAGTTCTCATGCTACGTATTTCATTTTGGTACCAACGTGTTCGCAATAAAATTCTCTAGAAGAACATTAGTAAAATAAGTCACGAAACATATAGGGATACCAGCACCAAATAAATAACTACGTAGATGACTCGCCGTGAGCGCCCATCAGCAACAAAATGTTTTTACTCTTGGGATACTTACTTTTTACTTACCCGGTATCGGTGACGGGACGACGCACGGCGCTTTGAAAGTTTATACTTATTTCACTCTCATGACATTAATTTTCTATGTACGTCATTCATTTTTATGTCAATGTGTTCGCAATAGAATGTTCTATGTGCCCATAGGTAAACAATATCAACAAAGCGTAAGTTAGAATAGCGACAAATATAAAACAACGCTGGAACATATCAGTGAGCGTCAAACACACACGAAATATTTTTACTTTTGTTATGTTTGTCAAGATTATACTTGTTGCACACAGTTATTTTTGGTTGTATATTGATCGGAATAAAATTCCCTAAACAGACATATGCATATAATACATGATATGGGGGAAGAATTACCAGTATAAACGGCTAAAGTCACCCACCTGCAACCCGTTTGGGACAAAATACCATTTGATCGAAGTTATCCACACCTTTCATGAACTTATTGTACCATGCAGCCTAGTGGTGAGAAAGAGAGCCTCATAGCGCGCAGTTTGAAACAAACCCAAAGTAAATCGGATAAAAATTGAATTTTATACAAATATTTTAAAAGTAGACATAACTTTATGTCCACTATGCGTTTACGTTAGACGAAACCGAACGCGCCGGCGCGTCCAGATAGCGCGAAAGTGTTAAATGAGAAGGCCGATGAAATTACTAAATTGGCAATTCGTCATCCAGCGATACATAAAACAATCCAACCCAGCCTACAGTGCATAAAAACCACCGTCAACAAAAAACACCTCAACAACGCCCATCTACACCAGAGTAGCAGAAGGTTCGCCCTCTGCAATATGGTATCTTCAGGCCACCAAGTTAGAAAGGTTAAATATCTCCAAAGGAATCCACAGGGGAAATAGCAGTTCGGTTATATAGACTACATCTAGGTTACAGATGCAACTGGGAAATTGGTGAACCTAGAAAGTGAGAATGCATCTTCTGCCAAACAATCACAGAAAAGCCACCACTTCACTATCTCCTGGAATGTGAAGCAATCAACGACCTTGGAAGAGTTAAGAGTCCCTGAATCTTGCAGTAACCACCCTGAAGCCATCACCACTGCCAGTCTTCTGGTCAAAAAAAGTTGTCCAGCAGCTGAACACCCTCAAATACTGTCAAGCAGTATCCTCCCCCGCGATAGCTGCCTGACGATTAAATGCTACCTCGGCACACGGTATACATTTACTGAACAAAATATTCATCACTTACGGGCTATTCATGCCCGTGGCTCCTCTTGGGTGGCTTAATCTTCAAACTTTTTTTTTTTTTAACTTACGAGCTATTCATGCCTGTACCACCTTTGGAGTTGCTTAATATTTATCAGTCTTTGTTTATTCCTTATCCACCTTAAGGAGAACAAGAGAAAGCAGACCATACCTACCAGGAAGACAGCAGTCTGCAACACCGCATCCCCACAAAGACCAAACCTTCTAGCCTAGCCTGCCTGGTGGAAGATGTTGAGTCCGATTTATGTTGAGCAGTTGGGTCAAGCCCCGGCTCGCTCCAGCAATCTATTGCTCGTTCCCTATACCCACTTCCCTGGACGCCCCTTGGGCATCTTGTCCTATATGCGATTCTATTCGATTCTCAACTCCTGTGTCTGATAACTCCCTTGAATTAAGATGGTGTACATTTCTTTCATTGCTACAGCTGCATTTTCTGGTGGTGTTCCCAGTTACAGTTTAGGCGAGTGGAGTGGGGGTAGGTGTGGGTATGCCCCTGCCAAGGCCATCTGTGAGTCGGCAAGATTTGCCAACTCGTTCCACGTGTCATTGCTTGAGAGATATGTCCGGCCAATGATGTATCCGTGTTACTGTCGGAGATAGTTTGTACTATAGTAGCCACATATGTGACTCCTCTCATGTGGTTGGTGGTGTGACTTGCACCATTCACCAAGTGTTGACCTACATGCAATGCTTCATCTACAGAGCAATGGGCCTGTTGCTGTTGCAGGGAACACCACTGGCTAAATGCATTGTTGAAACTTTTGCAGTTAATGAAACTGGGTATTACTGTTGTGTTTTAGTTGATCTTGTCCAAGCAGACTCTAGTGTCATGCATGCAGCTGCAGGATCCACAACATGCTTTTTCATCACACTGCAAGTTTCTGTGATTCCATTGTTGACAATTGCCACAACTGGATGGGCTGCAAATGAATCATTCTACATTATAATGTCTTTCTCTGGTAACTTAATCTTTAGGGGTAGTTTCCCTTCCCACATTGCAATGACAACAGCATACATCAACAGCATCATGACACTGTCGCTATATAGTTTTGAATCTTGAGGTGGTACTCGCCTAGTTGTGCTTGTGGGGGTTGAGCTTTGTCTCTCTGGTCCTGCCTCTCAACCTTCAATCAACTGGTGTACAGATTCCCGAGCCTACTGGGCTCTATCATACTTATATTTGAAACTGTGTATGGGGTCAGCCTCCACTTTCACTTCCACCTCCACATCACTTTCTAATGCATTCCATTTATTAATTACTCTGACACTGAAAAAATGTTCTAATGTCTCTGACTCATCTGGGTACTAAGTTTTCACCCGTGTCCCCTTGTCTGTGTTCCACCCATGCTGAAGAATTTGTCTTTGTCCACCCTGTCAATTCCCCCGAGAATTTTGTAGGGGGTTATCATGTCTTCCCTTACTCTTCTGTTTTCCAGGGACGTGAGGTTCAGCTCCTTTAGCCTTTCCTCGTAGCTCATTCCTCTCAGTTCTGGTACAAGTCTGGTTGCATACCGCTGAATCTTCTCTAACATTGTCTTGTGTTTAACTAGGTATGGACTCCAGGCTGGAGCTGCATATTCCATGATTGGTCTGACATAAGTGGTATACAGGGTCCTAAACGATTCCTTACACAAGTTTCTAAAGGCAGTTCTTATGTTGGTCAACCTAGCATGTGCTGCTGCTGATATCCTTTTGATGTGGGCCTCTGGGGACAGGTTCGGTGTGTGATATCAACCCCCAGATCTTTCTCTCTATTTGACTCTTGCAGGATTTCACCTCCCAGATGATACCTTGTGTTCAGCCTGTAGACACACACACACACGCTTGGTGTAGGCATACACACACACACACGCTTGTGCTTGTCCCAACAGACAAAGACATGATAGGAACTACCCACTGTATTGTAGCAACCAAATGTTTTCCAAACCTCAAAAGGTACCACAAGAAAGTTAGCCTTTTCTCAATACTGTACATATAATGGCACTACTTAACACTTTGCCTGGCCCAGCGGGCCACCCGCTTCACACCGCAAGGTAGGCCGGGCGTTGCCCGTGAGTGCACAACCCAGTGTTAAACTCTCTCACTCACAATGTTTATACTTACTAATAAGAATAGGCAAAAATTAATGGTTGACGCTATTGACATTATGCCCCAAACTGCGTGTATTGTTTTAATGATTGCATGAATGTCATCACGACGCCAAAGTGTTAAGATGTTCAGTTAGAATTCATGCATTGAAAAGTAAATGAATGACTGTATTAATAAGAGTCTCACCTTAGACTTTTCATTCCGTCCTACATAGTCCAACAGTTTCTTTCCGCACTGCATTTCTTTGCCTGCAAACCATAACTGTGTCATAGATGCCTCTAATACCTAAAAAGAAAATAATAATTTTAGAAGTACTGTACATAGATATTGTTTTTGTCCATTTAACTATCAATTACAGTACTTTCAGTAAAGTATTTACAAATCATATTCTTAATTCCTACAAATTGAAGCTTACCCTAATCCCACTGGACTTTGAAGTAGTCATAGACTGCATGCCCATGTACTCTGCACCAGGCCCGGACTCCTGGAATTCTTAAACATTAAGAATTCCTTAAACATCTTTTGGAGACGAAGCCTAGATACTGATATTATCCGACATACTTAAAATACCAGAGATTGCACTACTGCACAAAAGAAGGTAATAAAGCAGGTGCAAAAAATTACAGACCAACAGCACTAACATCACATATCCAAAAAAATTGTTGAAAGAGTGCCAAGAACTAAGATCACAAAACACATTGAATCACGACATCTTTCTAACACTGGATAACATGGATTCAGAACACGGTGCTCCTGCCTCTTACAAATGCTAAACCATTATGATATGGCTTTTAGATGCCATGGTTGACAAGCAAAATGCTGATGTAGTATACACAGATTATGCAAAAGCTTTTCACAAATGTGACCATGGAGTTATTGCACACAAAATGTGCACAAAAGGAATTACTGGCAAAGTAGGGGAGATGGAGCTTTAACTTCCTAGTGAACAGAACCCAGAGTGTAATAGACAACAAATTAAAATTTGCATCATCCACCACTCAGTCTCCAGGGAATTGTGCTTGATTCGTTACTTTTTCACATCGGACACTAGAATTTTCATGAGAGTAGACAATATAGAGGACACAGTCTTATATTAATCAAGTCTTTCAATGAGCAACGGAAAACAACATGATGTTTAATGAGGATAGCTCAAGCTCCTTCTCTATGGAAAAAATAAAATATTAAAACAGAAACCACATATAAAATGCAGTCAAACCACACTATACAAAGAAAAACAATGGAAGGATGTGATTGTATTCATGTCGGAAGACCATACTTTTAAAGAACACAGTAAAGCAGCCGTCCCAACTGCAAGAAAAATGAGTTTGGATAAAAAGAGCCTTTCAAACAAGAAATACAATGCCAGTGATGATACAGCACGATACTCGTGCTCTTTAGGGTGGAATATTGTTGCACACTAACAGCCCCATTCAAAGCTGGATAAATTGCTAAGCTGGAGTGTGTGCAAAGAGCTTTTACTGCTAGAATCCACTCAATAAAACATCTAAAGTATTGGGACCACTTAAAATGTTTAAATTTATATACCCTAGAGTGTAGGTGGGAGAGATGCATAATAATTTACACTTGGAAATTACTAGAGGGATTGGTTTCAAATGTGCAATGTGCACACAGAAATAACACCACATGAGACCAGAAGGCATGGCAGGATGTACAGAATACCCCCATTGAAAAGCAGCGGTGCAGTAGGTAAGTTGAGAGAGGCCCGAGGAATCAAGGGCCCGAAATTTTTCAATACTCTCCCTCTACGCATAAGTGGCATAACTGGCTGACCTCTCACAGTGTTCAAAAGAGAACCTGATAAACACCTTCGAGGAATACCTGATCAAATGGAATTCAATTTTCTCCTATTCCATGCCATGTTACGGAATGTGCAATAGGAGAGAACAGACCACACACAACTTACAAATTATGTGGAAAAGCTTGGATCAAATCTGATAATGAGATATCTAGGGAAGGTTCTAGATAGAAACCATCACCCGAGGACCACACAAAAAACATTGTGTTCTACAGCTTGTAGAGTGCATACCCATCCTTAGTTATGTTAAGATAGAATGTAATTGGTCAACAAATAAATCAGCTATAACTGGCAGAACTTGGGACCTTGAATTTGTTCAGGGGTGATTTTTCACAGATTTCAAACTATATTTTCTTTGTCTCTTTAGGTTGTTTTGATGATTAGGGACCAGCTTGGGGGCTTTATCTCTTATATAAAGCATACATATATATTCCCTAAATCATTATAATAAAATTATCCCTATTTTTTTTTTTGGGTGGGGGGGGGGGGGGGGGGTATTTTTTCTTGACTTCATTTCAACACATATTGACCTATAACTTTCACATATTCAAGTACGAATGCCAAACAATGTTTATTAAAACATACAAGTAAATTAAAGAATTAGAACTACCTTATCATTGACGATAACTTTATCTCTAAAACTAGAATTTCAATTTTGGGTCAGCATCAAAACCCTGGTTTTTGACCAATTCTCACCATTTTTACATATAGCAGGCACAGCTGTCTGTTCTACATTAATATTTGAATGTTTTTCCATAAACCTTAAATGTTATACATTTTTTGGTCTAACTTTGGTGCATATTTCAAATGCCATACTGAATTTTTTTTTACAGTAAACTATACTGAATCCTATAATAATTCTCAATAAATATGAAGATCATATGCTCTTCTGAGAGCATAATAACACCAAGTGAAAAATTTGTGATATTTTATATTTTTGATGCTCATTTGCAAATCTAAAATTTTCAATATTCATTTTATAATTATATTTCATTTTCTTGTTTTTCAAGTTACGTTGGCAATTATTTAGACAAAGTTGGAGCACGTGCCTAGTAGATTATGTACCAAAAATTTGAAAGCATTTGAGCAAGGTTGAAAAAGCTCATTTCCCAGCCCCTTCTTTAGAGTCTTTAGGTTATCTTTGGACGATTTCGGGGCTTTAGTGTCCCCGCGGCCCGGTCCTCGACCAGGCCTCCACCCCCAGGAAGCAGCCTGTGACAGCTGACTAACACCCAGGTACCTATTTTACTGCTAGGTAACAGGGGCATAGGGTGAAAGAAACTCTGCCCATCGTTTCTCGCCGGCGCCCGGGATCGAACCCGGGACCACAGGATTACAAGTCCAGTGTGCTCTCTGCTCGGCCGACCGGCTCCCCTTGAAGGTATAATGCAGTAAAATATGCATTCAATATAACAATCATGATATAAATATTACAAGTGTCAAGTTGATGTGAAGAAGTATTCTCACTATCATCAGTCTCATTCTTTAGCCATGGAAGAGAATAGTGTAGTACTGTACAGTATATGAAATGTTGTATGTGGCAAAACATGTTTTGTTTACTTACAAACTTCTCATCTTGTGTTCCAATTAACACTTCCCGGTTCTCCAGCTCTTCCCTGATTGGGTCATGTGGCGGCAAGTTCATTGGGAACACAATCATAACGGCTCCTCGTAACATGTCAAGTGCATCACACACGTGTTGTTCCGTTAGGCATTTGTTGCTTTTTACTTGTTCCTGAAAATATTAAGTATTATTAATATTAAGACATTGTATATAATGTAAGAAGTATTTAACACATAACAATGTTTATTCAAGTCCCTTGTTCATGACAAGCATAAGCTTTACTTGTACTAATACATATAACAGAGACTTTGCAAGGTACACATACAAACTTCTGGGACTAGCAGTGAAGGGACTACTGTTCATGGGTGTACACTTACATTGTTTGGTCCATAAGTCACAATAGTTTAACCACTGTGCTGCTCGTCTTCCAAATACGGCACCCCTCCTGTGCTCCTGTGCGCAGGAAATAAATTCTCAGGACTTTTTTTTGTTAAAAACCCTTCCCTGATTACAGAATTGTAAAAATAAACTCAAAATTGTACTTACTTTGGCCGCAATGGGGTCAAGTGAGGCTTGAAAACACTCATAAAGCAAATACCAAACACAGGAATGCAAGCAAATGGCTCCTACAGGACAGAGTCCAAAGAATGGCCCACACTTTCTTGGAAAAACTCAGACTCACTGGAGACTGAAGGAGGTCCATATTCAAGAGACATCAGCAACAGGACTGAGGGTTTGATGATGAGAGTAGGGCAACAGTGCAACAAGTGAGCAACAAGTGAGCAACAAGTGGTAGCCCCCAGAGGTGCTACCACTTGGTGATCAGCCATAACTATGGGAGTTAAATCTAACCTCAGAGCAAATAGGTTGCATGGGCTATTGCTGCTTCAGTTCTTTTTTCTTCCGAACCTTGCAGCCATCTGCATAGCTTCACTTACTTCCTGGCTGTTTCCTTTAGCAAGGGTGATCATAACAATCTCCCTGCTACCAGTGCCTCTGTGAGAGGGCCAGGTTCTGGCTCTGGTTTCCAGTAGGCCATTCAGGACGCCTAAGGTTGATATGAGATGTATGGAGCTACCGCAGCTTTAGGGAGTCACTGTTCTTTTTCCTCCAGAAAACCTTGCAGGTGCCAGGGACACCAAACGGAGATGACTATAATAAATATAATACAAAAACAAGAGTATGTATATTAGATTACGCGCAACAGCAATGAATATACAAATGTTTATGAATGCCAATCGGATGAATCATTCACTGGAATGTTATTGTAGGAGTACAGATGACATGTTTTAGCATCATCGGAATGTGAAAGTATTAATGAGATCCACTGAAGAGGGACCCGAGAGGAAGGAAACCTCTGGATGGATGCATCTGACAGACTGAAAGGTACATGGAAAAAGAACCCAGTATGAAGTTGCAGAAGGATCAAAATCAAACAAGGAGGATTGGGGGGTTAACAAAAACCTTCCCCCTGATGCAAAAGGCCTTTATTAAAAGGGACAAAGGACCAACGGGAGTCTAAAGGAACACAAACTTCTTGACTCTGAGTTTTGTACCCCGCAATGTGGCTCATCTCTCAGACCCTCCAAGCCAAGTAGAAGCTTATCAGGCAGCTGTCTGTTGCTTTGCAGGTTCGGTTTGCCTGCCTTCAGAGTTCATAGATTTGTGCTCAACTGGATGCTCCAGAGTTGGCCAGCCTTGTTTTTAGGGACATGTAATTGGAGCTGTTGTGAATTTCACCTTGGGTCCTTCTGTGACAAGGAACCCCCTCCCCCTCTTTTTGAAGTATCCTTCAAGAACTTGAAGAATACTTCAAGGGTATCCTCTATCCTTGAAGAGGGTAGCTCCCTCTAGATGGGGGGGGGGGGGGAATTTGAGTTCCTTGGCACAGAAGGAACCAAGGTGGAATTCTCAACACCTCCAATTACATGTCCCTAAAAACAAGGCTGCTAACTCTGGAGCATCCAGTTGGACACAAATCTATGAACTGATCCATTCCATTCTGATGAACCATAAGAACCATGAAATCCATGAACTGAACTATTCCACTGATCAGGCAACATTGTGGAGGCAGAAAGAACGATTGTTATCCAGTGACATGAACGACAAACAGCCCTCAAACTCGAACAAGGTGACAGTGGGTTCAGAGGGGATATCCACAGTCCACATCAAAAACCTGCAGGGTTTTTGATGTGGACTTTTTGATCAGGGGCCTTAAGGATTGACCAAACAGGACAACCAGGCACTGTAGACACTCGAAAGGAATTACAAAAGTAGATCAACACAACCTAGGCAAGGTTTCTATAAAAGTTAACCTTAGCATGTCATGTAAAACAAGAGTATAAACCCCCAGTGGGCCAGTGAATATGTTCACCCCAACCATGGGGTAGACAGCAGCCAAAGACCCTGACACACCTGAGGCAAGGCCACCACCTTGGTGGTCCAGCAAAGTCTCTGCCAAATCAGTCTCCGCCAAATCACAGTCTCCGTGGTGTAGTGCCAAGACACTCGCCTGGCGTTCCGCGAGCGCTTTGTCATAGGTTTGTATCCTGGCTGGGGAGGATTTATCGAGCGCAAATCCTTAACTGTTGCCCCTGTTTAACTCAACAGTAAAATGGGTACTTGGTTGTAAAAACGATTCTTCGTGGGGGTCATATTCCAGGGACCATAGGATTAAGGACTTGCCTGAAACGCTACGCATACTAGTGTCTGTACAAGAATATAACAACTCTTGTATATATCTTAAAAAAAAAAAAAAAAAAAAAAAAACTTGCGCATACACCAGTGAAGAGAACTATCAGTTCAGAGGCAGTGCTAGAGAGTACATAGGGAAGGTATCCCCAAACACATGCAGCTCCAAGCACTCTACAAGCCAGGTCCACACAACACAAACTGGACAGAAAACACACTTACGACGCTAGCTAACATGTAGAGCAAGCAAGCAAATGGCCCCTCACAGAACAAAGTTCAAGGATGGCCAGCACTTAGCTTACAAGCAAGTAAACTCATGCGACTGGTTGATGACTCGGGAGTCCAACAGCGGACACACATCACTGACAAAACCGACTTGAAAGGGTATGGGAGACCTCGAGCTCCACATCCCCTTCCACCCTTACTGGCTAGGGGTTAGTGTTATGAGCTTGTGCTAGTTTTAAGAGAGTTAATCATTTGTTTGCATTGTTTGACGAGTTCATTTGGGAGTTTCGAACCTTTGGTTTCTCTGAACTCAGCAGTGTTCTGTATTGGTTTACTGACTTCCTGGATGCTTTTCTGGTGGGTGTGGCAGTGTGTCACCCACTCTCTGAACCTCTACAAGGGGACCAAGTTCTGGCTCTAGTCCTCAGTAGGTCAGACAACACTATGCGGCTGATGTGAACCACAGTTCACATTCGTGTGCTGTGAATCTCACAGCACACGAATCATGTGAGATGGTTCTCCCACCATCTCCCACTCCCACATGAGTGGGGGCAATCTCAGCGGGATAGTTTCAAGAAGCCACAAGGGTCTCCCCCCAAGAAAACAGTATTTATGGCAACTCTGTTATGAAAACATGCAATATTTGCATGTAAAATAAAAACAATATTTGCATTATTAATGTAAATGTAGTAAAGACAATGATGTTGCAGTGTAAGCATGGCTAGAGAACACTACCATGAAAAGGAAAAGGAATACCATTTTACTTTCTTGATGGTAGTAGAGTACCGCACCCATATGGAGAACTTACCTACTACAGTGCACAATAACAAATATATGTACTGTATTTCATTGCTTTACTTACTTTAGATATAATTCCCTTTGCTTCTGCAATTGTCTTGTGTAACACCTCTTGCATCTTCTCTAATGGTTGGCATCCATTTCGTCTTCCACAGGGATCCCTAAACCAATAACAACACTAGGCATCAGTAAAAACTCCTGGCCAAGAGTCAACTTAATGTTGACTCAGAAAAGTCAATGCTGTAGCTCAGTTGTAAGGTAGATAATTATTAATTATTTTATAACTTCAATTTAGATGCAAAAAGTAAGATCAAAAGAGCACATAAAAAATGAGGGAAAACTGTATATACAGTATATGAATGTCAGAATAAAATCCGTGTTGAGCGTAATGAAAAGCCTTTTTCTCGGGGGTGACCTTGATGGTTCCCTCTTGCTAGCTGCTCTGGATAGCTCCATGCCTCTCATATTACACTAGGCCATTGCAAGTCAATAAACACCAATCAAAGACCAGAGGCCAAAACCTGGCCCTCTCAGAGGCGTGAAAGGGGATCAACTAATCACCCTCACCAAAGAACTAACCTCCAGAAAGGTAGAGTGAATCTAAACAATAACAATGCAGATATAAAGAAAGTGGGAAATTATCCACCCAGTAGTTAAGTGGATCATACTTACTAGTACTACATGATAATGACACACAATCAACCTGATAATTGTCCAGGATGGACCAAAACAGCATCATCATCTCATCTTCACATCACTTCCTAATTCATTCCATATACTAAATATTCTGACACTGAATAAATTCTTTCTAATGTTTCTGTGGCTCATTTGGGCACTCAGTTTCCACCTGTGAACCTTTATGCGAGTACCACCCTTATTAAATAGGTGGTACATGAAGCTGCACGCCAAAGCACGGCGCTTCACAAGCGCTTTGGCCCGAGTTCATATCCTAGCCGGGGGGAGTGACCGGGCGCCAATCCTTAAGTGCAGCCTCTGTTCACCCAGCAGTGAATGGGTACCTGGTTGTTAAACGATTTGTTGGGTCGTATTCCGAGGAAAAAAAATTAGGATTAAGGACCTGCCCAAAATGCTATGCGTGCTAGTGGTTACAAGAATGTAAGAACTCTTGTACAGTATGCACATATAAATAAATAAATAAACAAAAATACTCTATCTACCTTGTCAATTCCCCCCGAGAATTTTGTATGTGGCAATCATGTCTTCCCAACTCTGCCGTCTTCCAGCAACATGAGGTGCAATTCATGCATCCTTTCCTCATAAATCATACATCTTAGTTCTGGAACTAGTCTAGTGGCTTACTTTTGAACCTTGTCCAACTTCGTCTTATGGTCTGGACTCCATGTTGGAGCCGCATACTCTGGGATTAGTCCGACACATGTGGTATACAAGGTCTTGGTATACAATGATCTTGTGTGTAAAGTCCTTGCACAAATTTCTAAAGGCAGCTCTGATGGTAGCCATTTCACATACACCTCTGATGATTCACCTAATTGTGCTTGCAGGGATTGAGCTCTGCTCTTTCGGCCCGCCTCTCAACTGTCAATCAATCAACTGTTACTAACTACTAAATATTTTTTTTCACCCCCCCCCCCCAAGAAGGAACCCATAACAGGTGTCTAACTCCCAGTTACCTATTTACTGCTAGGTAACAGGGGCATCAGGGTAAAAGAAATTCTGCCCATCTGTTTTCGGGAATCGAACCCGGACCCTAGGATTACGAGTCCAGAGCACTGTCCATTCAGCCACAGACCCCTGTAACTGTGTGTTACCAGGTAATAGTTTTCATGAAGATGTACCACTTAAGTGATAAATTATGTCAAACATATTGAAAAAGAGTAAGGAAATTAAGTAACCAATGTGATATCTCAGTAATCACTACATTGTGGCTCTGGCATTACAGGCTTTGTTTATGATAATTGCCATCAATCCATTGTAACAATGATATCAAGTTAATCAACACCACAACAGTCACTTAATTCCTGGGTACCACTTTACTGCTAAGTGAACAGAAGCATCGTGTGGAAGGAAACTTGGCCAAACATCTTGCCCTACCCAGGAATACAACTCGGGTACCGTGCAATGTTTCGTATCCATCACATTTAATCCTCCACACCTTCAAAACTGATTATTTCTATGCTGTTTACAGAAATATATTACACGTATACTGTATTTATTGTAGTGCAAATTTTGAAAAGCAAACATCAGAAAAGGAATGGATGACATCACATCTTTAAATTAAAAAGGCAAAAATTACAAAAATCTAAATAGCAGTCCAACTTACTTGTTTTCCTTAAAGCCACCACTGGCCACACATGTCTCAGCCCAATCATCCTTAAGTCGCAGGTCTTGGATTTGATCTTCTGAGAGACCATGCATCTCGGGTGGGAGTGATGGCCCGTGTTCAGCTAGCAATGCCATTTCTAACAAAAATAACAAAGTAACAATACTGAGCTAACTTTGGACAAATATGCTGCACTTCATAACCATTCTCAGAGATGGATGCAAAATATGAATCTGCATAACATATTCAATCAAAATTAAGCTTAAATAATAATAATACTGTAATCAAGTACAGTGGCGCCTCGATTAATGACTTTAATTCGTTCCGGCACCAAGCTCGTCATGTGGAAAACTCGTCTTGCGAAACAACAACAAAACTGTTGTTGGAAGTGGCCGAGAACCAGTGGGAACGCTCGTTAATCGAGCAAAAGCTTGTCAGTCTAGACATATTTTCTGCGAGTGGCTCGATACTCGAAATGCTCGTAACTGGAGCCGCTCGTCACTCGAGGTTCCATTGTACTGGATGCAATTTCCAACAGTTCAAAAAAATATGACACAGTTTACTTAAATCTACATTTACACTAAAACACAATATAAACATAGCAACACTAAGACTTGTGTGAGTATACAGCATGACGAGAGCTCCTATACACTCACCAGTACAGATCCTGTATACCTTCAGTCTACCATTGTGAATCATCACCACGCTCTTCAAGACATCTTCCACGGCTGCTTGTACAGTTGTTTCCAAGAGGAACTGGCTATCATCTCCACGTTTAATATGAATGACCACCATTGTGTTCCAGTAGATAATATGTCTGGAAAAAATGCATCTATATTTGAGCTATACAAAAAGAAGGTGACCAATGCCAACCTTATAGTGCTAACACAGGCATTTGCATCTGAAAAGCCTGAAAATTAATCTGGGAAAACAATTATTATACAGTAAAAACCTCAAAAATAATGTGGAAACCTTTGTGAAGCCGGCAGCTTCCAGTCCTCGTCCAAGCCACTAGAATGGTGGTCCTCGGGTAAATTACCTTACCTTACCTTGAGGTGCTTCCGGGGCTTAGCGTCCCCGCAGCCCGGTCGTCGACCAGGCCTCCTGGTTGGAGGCCTGGTCGATGGAGTACCTGGAGAATTCAGGTAAAATTATTTTCTCAATAAATTGTAATCGTTAGATTTAGTAGTAAAATAAACAATAATACTTGTACAGAACTAATATTTGATAAAATGATGAAATCAAACAAATCACTGGCACAATCTGTAAACAATGGTGTGTAAATTAATATTGATTTTCCTTCAGGGGTTTGGGAATACCCTCCGGTTTCTGTTGTGGTCCTTGTGGAGCAGCCCGGTGGGCCCCACATTTTGCGTGTTTGAGGGGTGTTCCTTATCTTTGGTACCTGATGATCTACAAGGTCATGGTAAGTATTGATTACTTTGATGTCCACCATTCCTGACTGAATAATGTAAAGAAGATTTCACAATGTTCAATAATTCTACATCTGCAATTACCCTGCCAAGTTTACATGAGGAACTTTAAAAAATTTCCAGCTTTTCTCTGTAGCAGAATCCAACATGAAAAATGATACTTCATATCATATGCTACCGCATCACCAGGCTCATTCAACATACACGTACTTCAAATCGGAGTATCAGTGTTTCATTGCTACATGTGTCAAAACTGTTTTAATGTTTTGTCTCATGCTAAATGTCCAAACTTCATGAAGAATGTCTGATTTTGTTTCCTGGCAACAGATGCAGCCATTTTTATTGCGAGGCACAAGTTTAGAGCAGCTATATCTCTCAGCCGATACTGTGGTAGACGAACTTACTTCTCCAGTGAATGATGGCCTATCACACTTCTTCACAATAATTGCTCCAGTATGTTGTTTTTGTAAAGACATGTTATAGCATTCCTTTGCTCTATCCAGCATAGTGGGATGCACTAGTTGGGAATAACATGATTTATGAAAGATAGTTATGCCAGATGAGAGGTTGGAAGGTGTTTAGTTTTCAACTCTTTTTGGCAAGATCACTGTATTCAGTATCGCCACATTTGCATCTGATTTTAGCAATTGTCAACAACTTTTCAAAAGATGTTGTTTGAGGGTTCATACTTTATGGGCTTTTGGAATTTGTTTGGCACATAATGCACATATGGAAGTTTGTTTCTCTCTCTACATTCATTCATATTCTCTCTCTCTCTCTCTCTTATTTTTTATTTGTTTATTGCTTCCTGTCTTCAGGCTCCATTGTGGCCTTTTTTGTTGCTTGGTTCTGTTAATCCCTCTAACACACAATAGCAACGTAAGCATAACAATCCCCCTTAAATCACTTCATGAGAAAGATATATTACACATTTAGTGGAAATGGAATAGTGTAGGACAGAACAGGATATACTCTTTCACCCACAGGGTTATAGACCCACGGAACCGCCAACCCGCTGAAGCCGTAAATGCCAAAACTCTGCTAACTTTTAAAGTACAGCTGGAAAAGATCATCAAGGAAAATGGGGTGGGGGTGGCCCACCTTCGACAAGGAAGGAAATTTTCAGGGGAAAGCGCCAAGTCATTGCGACTGTATAGCACTTGGAAGGGGTTTGGAGAAGGATTTGGGATGGGACAAAGGAAGGAATGGTGCTCAATCACTTGTGGACGGTCAGGGATTGAACACCGACCGTCTGACTTCCTGTCCTCGTCAAGGCCACTAGTGGCTTTCAGGTAAACTCGGGTAAACACAGGTACAAAAGATTTGCAATAAATGACCTACAACTACGGCACTGTGAGGTATACAGTGTAACAAAGATTGTACACCTGGGACCGAACACTGAATGGAACAATGGTTCAAGTGAAACAAATCTAGCAGGTAATACTTAAGTAATTATATACATTAACTTTCTGTACATAAAATCTGCTACATAATAAAAATTTTGATGGAAATCACCTTATACAGTAAATAAGTAAATAAGTTAAATAAGTAAATAAGTACAGAATTTATTTTATAATACAAAGGCATTAGACAAGCTCAAGAAGTATCTGTTTTAGATCATATAATTAATTTTATTACATACTGTATGATGTATATAAATCTAATTTTTGTTGTTTTCCATAAAAACTCCATTCACAAAATGCCAAACCCATTTTTCTGCCCAAAACAAAACAAAATGTGTTATTTGCTTTGCAAGATTGTAAGATCACCAATTATATATACTAGTACGCCTACAACCTAAAGCATCTAAATAATCAAATAAATAAATATTAAATAAATATAAATATAAATAAAATAAAATAAATAAAAATGAAATAAATTGATCTTTTTTAGAACACCATTCTCTAGAACACCAAAACAAATATTATATTGTAATTAATTTCATGCTTTTGGAATTACATAACGACCCCCACTACAGCCCAGCCCAAACTAGCCCAGATCAGCCCAGCCTAACCTAACCAAAATAACAGATAACACATTGTGTTTTATATATGGTGTGCACAAGACACACGACATCACTCTGGCGTCATAATTTTAATGCCGATACAGTTTTGTAGTCTACTGGCAACTTGGGGGTAATTGAACAAAATACAGACCACTTCCTACCAAAGACAATTCATCAACATTTTTATAACCAAGCGAGCCTAAACCAACAAACAATCTTACCCAGCCTATCTAACCTAACCTAACCAAGTGAGCCTAAACAAACAAACAATCTTACCCAGCCTATCTAACCTAACCTAACCAAGCTAATCTAACCATCCTAACCTAACCAACCGAGCCTAAACCAACAACCTAACCTAACAATATATAAAGCTTGAACAATAAGAAAACAAAGTTTGCCAAAAAGCCAGCAGAAAATTTGGCTGTCATTAAATTCCTTATACATGGAGTTGGCAAGAAGGCTCCTAACCCCCTGTCAATTACCCTAGATCAATACAAAGCATGCTCCTAGCCCCTGTCAATTACCCTAGATCAATACAAAGCATGCTCCTAACCCCTGTCAATTACCCTAGATCAATACAGAGCATGCTCCTAGCCCCGTCAATTACCCTAGATCAATACAAAGCATGCTCCTAGCCCCTGTCAATTACCCTAGATCAATACAAAGCATGCTCCTAACCCCTGTCAATTACCCTAGATCAATACAGAGCATGCTCCTAGCCCCGTCAATTACCCTAGATCAATACAGAGCATGCTCCTAACCCCGTCAATTACCCTAGATCAATACAGAGCATGCTCCTAACCCCTGTCAATTACCCTAGATCAATACAAAGCATGCTCCTAGCCCCTGTCAATTGCCCTAGATCAATACAAAGCATGCTCCTAACCCCTGTCAATTACCCTAGATCAATACAGAGCATGCTCCTAGCCCCGTCAATTACCCTAGATCAATACAGAGCATGCTCCTAACCCCGTCAATTACCCTAGATCAATACAGAGCATGCTCCTAACCCCTGTCAATTACCCTAGATCAATACAGAGCATGCTCCTAACCCCTGTCAATTACCCTAGATCAATACAAAGCATGCTCCTAACCCCTGTCAATTACCCTAGATCAATACAAAGCATGCTCCTAGCCCCTGTCAATTGCCCTAGATCAATACAAAGCATGCTCCTAACCCCGTCAATTACCCTAGATCAATACAAAGCATGCTCCTAACCCCGTCAATTACCCTAGATCAATACAGAGCATGCTCCTAGCCCCGTCAATTACCCTAGATCAATACAAAGCATGCTCCTAACCCCTGTCAATTGCCCTAGATCAATACAGAGCATGCTCCTAGCCCCTGTCAATTACCCTAGATCAATACAGAGCATGCTCCTAACCCCGTCAATTACCCTAGATCAATACAGAGCATGCTCCTAGCCCCTGTCAATTACCCAAGACGTTTAGATCAATACAAATCACAGACACACAAGCCTCGTGGACGGGATGCCAAGATGACCACCAATATACAAGACGGACCCCCAACAACATGCTACTTCCTAGAGCATCAACACTACTGTGGACTCTAATGGCTCTCTCATGCCGTGTCCAGCTGCAGTTACGGGTCACTGTGTAATACGTGACGTGGCTAGTAGGTAACTATCCAGTGGCGTAGTAATTAGTCACCAGAACAAGGAGGAAGAGGAGAAGACGAGCGTGGACCCTCGAGGGCTGGCGGCGGCGGCGTCACCGGTTGCCATGGCGACCACCTGGGTACAAGTCACGTCGTACACAAGACGATTCGTCACCGGATTTGTTTATTAATTTAGATTTAGATTTTTTTATTCAGGTAAAGGTACATTCATTGAGTTACATACATAATGTTGCATTTAAAGATAGAAATAGTATATACAATACCTAAAGCCACTAGTACGCATAGCGTTTCGGGCAAGGTGAGGGGAAAAACAAGACTAAAACTTAATAGTAATTGAGCTTAAAGTATAAATTGTGTTATTTCCAGGGACACATTCTAAATAAGAACATAAGAACATAAGAACAAAGGTAACTGCAGAAGGCCTATTGGCCCATACGAGGCAGCTCCTATTTATAACCACCCAATCCCACTCATATACTTGTCCAACCCGTGCTTGAAACAATCGAGGGACCCCACTGAAATATATAAAAAAAAGTTTCAAAAACTGTTGGCATTCTTTCTAAGATCAGATATTATGTACCCCGCCCTGCCCTGGTGACTCTCTATTACTCCCTCATCTATCCATATCTCAACTATGGTATTTGTGCTTGGGGTTCTACTACCCAAAATCATTTACGTCCTCTAATTACTCAACACAAAGCTGCTATTAGGACAATATCCAACTCTAGCCTCAGACATCACTCGGTACCCCTACTCAAATCTCTGAATATGTTAGATATTAAGTCATTGCACATTCTCTCATGTGTATTATACATATATAAAACGCTGAACTGTAATGCCAATCCTGACCTCAAAATATTCATTGAAGGTTGTAACAGAACCCATGAGCACCACACCAGAAATAAATACAGTTTTGATATTCCTAGAGTACGACTTAATCATACTAGAAATGCTCTTCAAATCAAGGGACCCAGAATGTGGAATGACCTTCCCAACCATGTTAAAGACAGTACCTCTCTCAACCAGTTTAAGATAAAAACGAAGCACTAC